GAGGGGAGAGGTTGTGCGGGGAGGAGGGGAGAGGTCGTGCGGGGAGGAGGGGAGAGGTTGTGCGGGGAGGAGGGGAGAGGTCGTGCGGTCGTGTGCGGGCAGCGAGTTTTGTTTCTTTCTGAACGGCTGGGTAGATTAGGGATGGGTTTGGCGTGGTTTACAGTGTTAAACACAGAAGAATTAAGGGCCATTGGATTTTGATGATGGATGGGTGGGATTGTTTGGATCTGCCCCTCTCTTTCTTTTATAGTGGTAGTAGATTAAGGGTTTACACTCTGATTCAGTTTCTTACTGGATACACGCAAATTTTCCTCATCCGACTATCAGCTAGTTGACGATAACCTATGTAATAGGCGTCTTGTTACCATACATTTTTTCAGTCTTTCACATGTATTTCTTTGATGTGACTACTGATGCATAATGCCACAAATATAAGCTGCTGTTATTTTGGTAGGTGGGACACTCTGCTCCATCATCACAACCCTGTGGATCAATTGCCACCAGTCTTTGGGTTGCAAAATCTGGACAGAGCCTTCTGAAGTTTGACAGTCACATCTTCTCAACTGTACATTGCCGTGCAAGATGCCAAAAATAAAGAACCTGTCTGATGCATGTAAAGTATCATTTTCTCCAGATGGACCTATATCTGAAGAAGCACTCGAGAGAGTTCGTGCACTGTTAGGTGAGTCGAACTTTACACTATTTTGAATAATCTGGAGTAATTTACCTGGAGATTGCTATGGTACAGGGTACATACATCATCTGGTTGCAGAGTCTTGTAAATCCTTCCTCTCCTAACATTTCTCACTCAGCATTCTCACATAAATTGCAAAATTACATGCACATGTACCATAGTCATCGTCTTCTGCTTTTTATCTAATGTCCTTCATCCTATCAGATCATGCATTAGCCTTACTATACTGCTTTTATCAGTAACTGGATGTTACTGAATCAAGCTGAGCCACTTGTTGTTATATGATAGAAAGTTTTAGCAGTAATCATATTGCCAAGTTAGTTTTTTTAATGCATGATACCAACAGCGCATAAAAGATATGAACACAATGGATTCGAGAGCAACTTATAAGTTGCCTGAAGGTGGTGGCTTCCTTTTTAGCTGTGCCTCATCCTTGATTCGTATCATTGCACAAACCATTAATCTTCCGTATAATGTTTTTTATTGAAACAATTCCATGCCTTCTATTTTAAAAAATGTGCCAAGAGTTTTGAAAAATTCATCAGCTACGTTTCCTGGTAAACAATCCGAACTTACCGATCAATAAGACAAGAACATTTATTTGTGTCGTAATATTTTCATGTAAGGAGTTTGTTAATTGTCTTAGTTGTCAGTGCTCGTGAAGAGGTATGACCAACAGTGAACTACATGTGCTACTCTAATTGCATGGCAAAAGCAGTATTTTTATTTGGAATGGTATAAATGTCAACTTCCAACCCATAACTTGGGCTCCACTTTTAAACACTAAACTTACTGTTGAAATTGTAACCTCCAACTATTTAAACGATCCAGTTTTCACCTTAAAGTGATTGGATTAGTGGTTTGGGTGACATGGATTACGTGTCTGTCATGTTTAAACATGGCCATGACTAGCAACCCCACAGAAACAAACAATCAAGAAACTCATCATTTGGACAGAGAACTTCAATTAAACTTCTTGAAATGGATCCAAAGTTGGTAAATAGGTACTTCGATGGCATGGCAAAGATGTGGCAGTAACGTTAACAAGATATTATTATTTTCTTAGCTGCTTTGGCCATCTTCATGTTCGATATGAACTTGTGATGTGCTATACTGCTTCTAGAATTTGTTCCATTGCTAATGTAGGGTAAAAACTTGCTTTTCATCTCAACCGCCAAAAAAAACTTGCTTTTCATCTGATTCAGCGAAACCAGAGCAATGAGTATTGGCAGACTCATAATTGATTCTATTTTGTATTCCCAGATGAGATCAGACCTTTAGATCTTGGTTTAGATAACGAAGCACAAATTGCACGTACTTGGAATAGTTCTACGCGTCAACAGAATGGGAGGCGAGGACGCGGTGGGCCTAATCAGTACGCGCCCACAATCAAATATCTGCACATTCATGAATGCAAAAGTTTCTCTGTAAGATCTCTTGCACGTCATCTAAGCATTATCTTAATTAATAAGCTTTGCATTTTCAAATGAATAGATGAAGTGCCTCCTTTCTTATAACTTTGATTTTCATAATTTATTATGCAGATGGGTATATTTTGTATGCCACCGTCATCAGTTATTCCACTTCACAATCATCCAGGAATGACTGTGCTGAGCAAGCTTCTTTATGGCAAGCTGCACGCCGAATCGTATGATTGGATTGATGTAGCTGATCCAACTGACCCATTAAAGCGTAAGTTCTGCCATTCGAAAATCTTCTACACAACAATAGTTGGCCATGGCCGTGGTCCTCCAATTGGTTAATTTGTTTGTGCATGATATCCAGTATGCAACTCATGACTGATCTAGTTCTTTTTCCCCTTGCTTAATAAATGGAAATGCAAATTACTATGCAAAACAAATGTGGAATGCGTTTTATGCAAGAAGATAATTTTACTGGACATTTCCTTTCATCAAAAGAACATGTCATGCAATTTTTCGGTACATTTCTTATCATGAAATCCACACAGTATGCAATGACCTGTGATGATCTGTGGTGTATGTTGGGGACCTTGCAACAATAGTTATTTGAAAGCATCTTTTTTAGATGTAGCAGCAAAATTGCTGGAATGTAAATATGGCCCTAATTAGATGCTACAGAACAGCAACCTTGTTTGTGCTCTTACCTTTTATTCTCATAAGTAAATTGGGCCATTTTCACTGTTAAATGTCCTAGACAAAGGCTTTTGCCCCCACTCAGAGATCTGCTGATGTTTCGCTCTTCAATTCGCTCTTCAAATTCTACTGATGTTGTCAATTACCAGAACTCTATCTGTGATGCCAAATTTTGTGTCATGCCATCTGTTTCCACACCCTACTTTGTGTCTCAATTATGCAGTATGGCATAACTTGCCTATTGTGGCACAGAAAGTTGCTGAGTAGTGGCTGGATACTGATGACATTCTTAATCGCAATTTGTTAATGCTAGCAAACACCTCAAAAGTAATGCCAGATAGTTAATTGTCATGCATTTAATAAATTGCTGTATCTCCTGCTATCTAATTTTGATGAGCTCAAAGAATGTCTATGCTTAGAAACTAGTCTTATGGATCATTTATTAATCATGCAAATGATCCTAGTTTAAATCATTTTGTTGGTTGTGTCAAATTTGTGTGCCGACTAATAAGATCATGTAGCCTATTACTCCCTTGGGTGCAGCAAGACCAGCAAGGTGTGTGAGAGACCGTGAAATGACTGCGCCAGAGACGACCATTCTTTATCCTGATAGGGGTGGTAACATCCATACTTTCAGAGCCATCACACCTTGTGCGCTCTTTGACGTCCTTTCTCCACCATATTCTGCTGAGAATGGGAGAGACTGTTCATACTTCCAGAAGTCTTCAGTCAAGGAGCCATCTGGTAATATACAGCTCTTGACATTTGATTATTGTTTTTAATCTATTTTATGTTATGCCAGTTTTGAGTTGTTTTAACATTTTCTGCTACAATTTACCAGTTATTTTGCCGAGTGATATAGATAGCTCAGAGGTAGTCTGGTTGGAGGAATTGGAGGACCATCAGCCTCCGGAGGGCTTTGTTGTTGCTAGAGGTTTGTATAAAGGCCCTGTGATAAGGAGATAGTTAGGTTTTTATACCACTTTTGCCAATGGATTGAGGATGCAGAGGGCTCCTAGTATCAGCTGTATGTGGCTTAGTAGAGCAAGTATCATCCAGGCAACCTGCAAGCAGCCTGCGGTTTACGTTGTACACACACGACCTGATGTGGATGAATGAAGAGCGTTTGAGATCATTTTCATCGTGCCTTGCTCTGTACTGGAGCAATGCTGCTGGTCTGTGATGTACCCACGTGGCTCTTTTATCAGATGGAGGCCTTGGAGTATATACTTCTTTTGAGAAGAGGAGAGTTCTTGCCACGCTGTATTAGGTAGAACAAGTGGCATGGGCTTCTCACCTAATGATTGTTTCAGAAAAAAAGATTTGGTGTGGTGAACCGATTATTCCGTGTCATTATGTAAACAATCGCATAAACATTCTTTGGGATAAAACTGTCTTTGCAAAAACTGACAATGCGGTGTATGCTGTTAAGAGTCTAGTAACCATTCCTTTCCCTTCCAGTGAAGTCTGTCTGTCATTTTTCAACATTATGATTGTTTTGCATAAATTTCTTGTGTCTTTTCACTAGTCACTCAGTACTCTATTAGAACATATGTGCAGGGAATTTTTTACCTCTTAAATATGTCAAGAGGCTTCTAAATACTTGGCCAATCTTTTGGGGATACATGTTGGTCATGATATTCAGCACCAAGGGCACCCCAGCGCATATAATGGAAGCCACTCTGAGTCTCTGACCATGCCGCGACGAGCCGCGCTTTGTATTCCCTTTTTAACATTTCGAATCAATGAAGTTCCAGCGTTCTCCTAAAAAAATTGAAAATTGATAATTGTCATATGAAACTTTTGTTTTATTTTGCGAGTAAGGCTATGAACTATATTTAAAACTCCCAATGACGCAAGACGTCTCAAAAAACAAGATAATTACAAGCAGGTTATGAGAGACAAACTTGATCTCAAGCACGAGCTGAATGTGCCACACCACTGCCGAAGCTGACATGACCTTCTATCGGTTGAATGTGCGTCGCCGCTACCGAAGCTGACATGATCTTCTATTGTGTTGTTGGAAAATTGTGCCAAAACCTTTCCTAAACAAAACTTCCCCAGCTTCACAACACCGACGAAGAGGGTGACTCTGTGATGAAGAGGGAGAACAAACAACCAATTTTTTTGGGCGGACGATGAACGAGAGCACGGCCCCAACGGCTCCTGTACGGCCGTGCGACCCCAGCGGCGCGCGCGGGGACGGGCGGCCTCCGATGCGGGCGGCGAGCCGGAGGAGTGGACGGCGGTGAGGCCGGGCGCGGGGAGCGTCGTCGCTCGGAGGGCGGCCTCGCCCTTGGTCGCACGGCTGCTGGTGGCGTCCGGTGGGAGCTGCTTCTGGGCGTTGGCGGGGGACAGCTCGGACGAGGAGGAGGTAGGTTAGGTAAGTTCAGTTGGCTGCGATGGCGAGGGGTCGACGCGGGCACGGCCGCCGTGCTCGCTGGGCGACTTCGTTGCGAGAGCCGAGGAGCTGGGGAGCTCCTTCCAGGCGGGTCGCCGCCGACGCTTTG